TCTTTGTTCATGTTTTGCTTCAAACAACTTTTATTTTCATTTCTAAAAATCATCAAAACTCAAAACCCTCTGGTTTCATCTGAATCCGTTTGATGAGCTCATGTTTTGTGTTCAGCTCTCAGAAGATCAGGACGTTGACCAAAGCTCTGACTCCATCGTTCCTGAGGTTCGGTGGAACGAGACAAGACTTCATGGTTTTCACTCCTCAGAGGAAACATCTGGAAACATCAGGCGTCGCTGCAGGTGACGTTCAGAGCTCCTCCCTCCGCTCGGCTTCTTAAGGAAATAAAAAATATGAACAATAAGAAACAACAGGAAGTCTTTTCTTTGCTCTCCGGTGACACCTAGTGGCCGGATGCATGATATTTTCATCTTATCAGTATGTTACTTTCTTTTGAACACGATATCTCAAGATGAGTCTGAGGGAGTCTCTGCAGATCTTACACAAACGTTCATTTAGACTCACAGATGAGCTGATCAGATTTGGATGGTTAAAGGTCAGAGGTCACAGTGAAGGAAGGAAGCGTGTGAACCAACGTCCTCTCTGCTCTCGTCAGCTCCGTCCTGTGATGAAGAGGCGTTGCCGTCGTGGTTGGAGGACAGACTGAAGAAGGAGTGGAAGACGCAGCAGCTGATCCTGATGAGAGAAGACGCTCAGAGGAAGTACAGGAAGGTCAAGTTCACAGGTATGAGCACGTAAACATGTGAACACGTGAACATGTGAACACGTGACGCGCCGACTGACCCTCTTCCTGTGACAGAGCTGACCGTGGACCTGCTGAACTCGTTCTCCAGCTGTTCGGGGACGGATCTGATCTTCGGGCTGAACGCTCTCCTCAGAACAGACGACAACAGCTGGAACAGCAGCAACGCTCGCTCCCTGCTGCAGTACTGCGAGTCCAGACGCTACGCCGTGTCCTGGGAGCTGGGAAACGGTTCGACGACACGCCAGCTGACGCGCAGCTTCATGTCACGTCTCCACACTGAGGTCGGAGTTTGACATCTGTCGTGGGTTTTTTCCTCAGAACCCAACAGTTTCGTGAAGAAGGCCGGGATCCGAGTGGACGGACATCAGCTCGGAAAGGACTTCACCCGTCTCCGAGAGATGATGTCAGAGTCCAAATTTTACCATGGCGCCGGGCTGTACGGGCCGGACGTGGGCCAACCGCGAGACCACAGGATCGACATCCTGGAGGGGTGAGAGGTCACGCTTACATGGAAACAATAATCTGATATGAACCAGATTTCCTGTTTAACCAGATCTCCTCATGTTCACACACACATGTACATACTTATACACACATGTACATACTTATACACACATGTATATACTTATACACACATGTACATACTTATACACACATATAATTACATATGTACTGTATTTGTATTGGTGTGCAGCAGAGAACAGTCTCAGCGGCCGAGGACGGAGCCGACGTTCTGTGATTAGATTAGCGTCATGTGAGCTGCACACTTCATCTCATTTGGTCCAGAACGTTTGAACTCTGGTTTTTCCGTCGCTCGGTCGCTCGCTGCGCTCGTTCACGTGGATCATTCTCCTCCAAGTCTCCATCGAGTTCACGACACAGTGATTTCTGTCCTGTAGGTTCCTGCAGAGCGGAGCGGACGCCATCGACGCCTGTACCTGGCACCAGTGAGTTCAGCCGTCTCACCCTGTGATGTTTGCACGATGACCATAAAGTTCTTACATTAACACAACTCGTGACTTCACGCTGAGTCACTTCTTTAAACATGATGCAGGTAGAAACATTAAGCAGCGTTAACTCGTCCGTCCCGTCTCTCAGTTACTATGTGAACGGCAGAGACACGTCCCTGGAGGATTTTCTGGATCCAGAGATTCTCGACTCTCTGACGTTAAAGGCCAAAGAAGTTCTGAGGGTAAAGACAGTGGACACGTCACAGAGACACTTTGACACGTGTATGCAGATGCTGACATGTGTCCTCTGTTCAGAGAGTAAAGACGGCGTCCCCGGGGAAGGCGGTTTGGCTCGGAGAGACGAGCTCGGCGTACGGAGGAGGAGCTGTGGGTCTGTCTGACGCGTTCGTCGCAGGATTCATGTGAGAAAAAAACCAAAACGTTCTATTAGAGCTGAGATCAGAACAACGTGTTCATGCACCCGCGTCATGTACAGGACTCTAATGAACCTAAAGCTAGCGCACTGATTACCCAGCAGCCCCTGGTCTCATGATAAACATTACCCCCCCCCCCCCC